GTTTTACAAATTGGACATTGAATCCGGGGGGCAAGGGTCCTGATCAATAGACAACTGTGGCTGGGGATGGGATTGGCCAGGAGAGCCTTTTTCAGCCCAGAGGGATGCAGTATTCATGTAAGGGACTTCCTCCTTCGTGTCGCCACGAAGTTCAGACTATATCATCATCCCAAGCAGGGATGTCTGGCGTGTAGTCGTTGAGGGGCGCAGCGCATGTATCAACACATGACTTCCCTGCTGATTGTCCGCAGCGACGCATTCATTATCATTATTTTGCTTGCGTCACTCGGTTGGAGGTTCCAGCATATAGCCAGATTTTGTCTTTGATGCTGAAGAAAATACCCCTTTGTCGAGGAATTTCGCTTGTTCATGTTATTCGCTAAATTTGGTTTTGCTTTTAATTCATAATGGCTTTTAGTCCACTAGAACAATTTGCTATTATTCCATTGATTCCTTTTCGCCGGGCCCATTTCCCGGTTATAAATCATTTTTGGAAAAAAATAAAAAAAATAAAAAATAAAAATAAAATAAAGTAAAGAAATTCATTACCAAATTTGAGATTATTTGTTTTTTTTTTCCCCATACGGGGCTGTATGTACGGCCATACGACCGTACGATAAACCCCTCATATCGTACGGAGAGTTACACAGTCACATGGTACAGTGAATTTCAGATGGAAAAACATAATACCAATTACATCTAAGGCTACCAGAGTGGCCCGGCGTCACTTGCCCGGCCGGGCCAAAAACTTCTCAAATTATATATATATATCTCATACTTGCAACCTCACGAACCGCACATTCATGCGGAGTTCTGTGCGGAGTTCCGTGCAGGGCGTGCCTGTGCGGAATCGTGCAGGTTTTTTATTTTTATTTTTATTATTTTATCTTTTTTTGGAAGGGGAAACGGGGGGCTTATGACAGGAAGATGGGGATATGGCAAGGAGAGGGGGATATGGAGAGGAGGAGGAGGATGTGGACGAGGAGGACGACGAGGATAGCGAGGACGACGAGGAGTCAAGACGGGGGACGAGAAGAGATGGACGGAGGGAAAAGAGGAAGGGAAGGAGGAGGACGACGAGTGGGAGGAGGAGACATGGACGGCGAGGAAGAGGAGGACACGAGGAGACATGGACGGTGAGGAAGTATGAGGAGGAGGAGGAGACAAAGAGGATGAGGAAGGGCAGGAGGAGGAGGACGAGGAGATGAAAAGGAGGAGAAGACATGGAGGATGAGGAAGGGGAGGAGGAGCAAGGTGAGGCAGTACTCCTAGAATTTTTTTTTTCACCTCGCTTATAATTTTGGCGGGGGCCCTCAAACGCACCGTTTCGACCCTGGCCTCTTTTTTTTTCTGAGGGGGGTGACGGGTCATTCTCCGCACACGTCATGCACCGCACGGGATCAGTTGGGCGCATCCGCCGCACGTAGGGAACCGCCCGCTGCACTTGCATGTATGATATATACAAATATATATATATATATATATATATATATATATATATCGTCAAATAGATATATATATATATATATCGTCAAATATATATATATATATCGTCAAATAGAACTGCCCGGTAAACCGTAGGCAGAGAGGGAGAAGAGGACAACAAACAAGGGGCTGTGACAAACTGTTTCGTCGGAGTTTCACCGACTCATCAGGAGGCTATATATATATTTCAAACTTGTATTTTATATTTTTAATTTGGTAAAGAATTTCGATGTGACCCTGAGGCAAAAGTTGTTCAGTTTAATTTTCTGCATAACATAGTTTTTTTCGGAGTTTTTTTTTTTTTTTTTTTTTTTTTTTTTTGCTGGGACCTTCCCTTGTCCTTGCACGGGCTCTGGCCACCCAGGACCCGGGCGCCCCGGCTGGTAGCCTAGGATTACATGCTATAGCAGGCAGCTATAGCGCTTCCCTTGTCCTTGCACGGGCTCTGGCCACCCAGGACCCGGGCGGCCCGGCTGGTAGCCTAGGATTACATGCTATAGCAGGCAGCTATAGCGAATTTATAAACCAAACAGTCCTATCAATTGCCACTGACACTCAGCAGACTTCGCAGAACATTTTCCGCTGCGAATCTCAAACCAACAGCACTGAAACTTCATTGTCTATTTATCGGAGTATTTTCGTCATGAATTCCAAACCAAAACAAAAGTTGGAAACCTTTTTCTGAGACACTTTCCGCTGAAGTGGAGGAGATGGAAAACGAAAATACTCAGTGGCCAGGTCTGCTTACTTCGCCAATTCATAACCTCGGTGGCAAGCCTTGTTCTTCTTCTTCTTCTTCTTCTTTTTTTTTTTTTTTTTTTTTTTTTTTTTCTGTGTCTGCAACATACCCCAGGTCTGATGAAGGTGCAGATATGACCTAATCCTTGCAGCATCAGAACGGCAGCATAGTCGCAAACTCATGTTTTTCTCCTTTAAACCATGAACGTACAAGATGAGAGGGCCAAACACGGCCCCTCCTCCACCTCCCCCCTCTTTCCCCCTCTTCCTCCACCTCCCCCCCTTCCCCCCCCAAGAATCCAGAAAACTTTGAGAACGAGCAGCAAGCTTAACCACAACTGGCGCACTCCATATAGCTCATCTATACAAACATATACATCTCTCTTTATCGAAGGTTATCCACTGGACTCGGTGGTGAAAGTCATTTTTTTTTGGGGGGGGGAATGGTCCTTTTCTTTTCCTCTTTGGCTCCACATCCAGTCTGATGATCTAGACATTCCACCTTGGCTTTTTTTTTTTTTTTTTTTTTTTTTTTTATGCTTTCTGGTGCGGGCATAGTGCCTTGCATAGGGCTATGGCCTGATCAGCAAAGCTGGGTAAGGCTCCCAGTACTTTCTGGGTAGAGAGTGTGAGGACCCCAGACTCTTGTTGTTAATATTAATATTGTGCAATTTGGATCGTGAAAAGAAAAGAGAAAAAGATATCCTCTTTGTATAGACTATACTCCGTATACGCTCTACCTATACTCTTTGTCTACACTATACTCCCTACCTATCGTCTTTGCCCAGACTACACTCCCTAGCTATTGTCTTTGTTCTACACTGTATTCCCTTGCTATACTCTTTGTCTAGACAATAATCCCTATCCTCTTCGTCTGGACTATACTTCTTCTGGACTGTACTGCCTAACTGTTCTCCTTAGCTATCCTCTTTGTCCAAACTATACTACTTAACTATCCTTTGTCTAGACTATACCCCCTAGCTATCCTCTTCGTCTCTACCCTGTAAGCAAGAGTTCTTTGATTATCCTTAAACACGAATGGACGACAATGCGAGTTTGTGAAAATATTTTTCTGCCTCCAATCACAGAGAGCATCAACTCGAGTACACCGCAACTTGATGGAGTGAATGTAGTTTCAGTGTGGAAAGCCCTAGTGCAAACATGCTCCTTAGCTGTGCGCTACTCATGCAAGGTAACATCACCAGTTTCAGCGGTGCACAACCACTGTGGGGATAATAAGAGCTCAAACTTGGAGCCACAGAGATGACGGCATCAGATAGAAGCTTGCCAAATTGAAGCCATGCGAAGGAGAGAGAGAGAGAGAGAGAGAGAGAGAGAGAGAGAGAGAGAGAGAGAGAGAGAGAGAGAGAGAGAGAGAGAGAGAGAGAGAGAGAGAGNTGACTTGATGGAAATGGGAAGCTGAAAGATCACAGTTGAAAAAGAGAGGCAGTGATTTTTTTTTATTTTTTATTTTTTGCCACTTATCACGCTCTGGGTACTTGGCCGGCAACAGATGTTTTTCATTAAAAAATAAAAAAGAAAGACAAAGAAAGGGAATGATATTTTACGTTCTGTGCTTCGCAGCACAGACATAACCCGACCCGACCTCTTGGAAGCGCCTATTCGAAACTGACACGAATGTCGATTTTCCCATGCTCGTGTTTGTTTTGTTTTTTTTCCAAAAAAAAGCTGCCTCCTCCTCGTTGGGGGACAGCCATATATGTTTTCTCTCACCTCGCATATTATTTTTTTAACTGGGGTTCTGCCATGTCATCATGGAACGTATCTTTCTTCCAATGCCTACCTACCACTACTACTCCTAAGGGTATACAGGGGACACCTGCAAGCATAGCTTTCTACCTCTCTTCGGTGACGGGAGGGGAGGTTCCCTCTCTCGGTGGAGAGGGGTAACCTCTTTTAATGTTTGCCCCTTTGCCCTACCTTCTTAACCCAAAAAAAAACGTACGTGCCTTGTACCCGAATACAACTTACGTACGGGGTACGTTGTTTTCGAATACAACGAACGTACTTACGTACATTATAGAACGACGTTTAGGGTACAACCAACTTTTCAGAAGCCTGTAGTACTGCCGTTGTTTTTTTTATTTTTATCTCAAATTTGGTTGGGAATTTTGCCAAGACCCTCAGGCAAAAGTTGTTTGAATTGCAATGTTGTACAAAATACTTTTCGGATTTTTTACTGAAGTTAATTTTTTTTTTAATCGAAATTCTGAAATTAAGAAGGTAGCGTTTAGAGTGCAGAGTTGACTCGAACATCTTCTTCAAGTGAGAACAAGAAAAAGTCTGAAAAACAATTTATTTTTTTTTTTAAATCAGTCATATTAATTCAATTAATTTGCTATGGACTGCAATGCAGGGCCTCACTCCACCACTCACCAAATGTACAAAAAATTGAAAAAATTGAAAAAATGAGAATATGAATCTTTTACGCTAGAGCATGCAAAGATACCCCACCATATTTTCTGTCTTTTGTGAATGCGGTGAGTAGTGGAGCGAGGCCTGCACTTTTTTGTTATTAAAACCAGCAGACCATTTGATGCTCTCCGCAGAGCACCCCGGTATACACAAGGCATCCAAGGACCGGTCTGGTTGTGGCCCTGAGGACTTGAGGAGGCTGCCACTGCCAACAACAAAAAAAAAAAAAAAAAAAAACAATTGCATTCACAGACTCCACTGTCGGAGCATGGATCACGGAAGTAGGACCCTGCAAGATTGCAAACACACACACAAAAAAAAAAGGGACCCCAACTGACCCCACAACAAAGCAAAATTTGTTCTCACATAACAACCTGGACCCAGATTTGGCAACTCCAGGGTCGGCGGGGGAAATAAGGGGTTAAGGATCGAAATGTGGGGTTAAGGAATCCAAACGAGGGGTTAATGATCGACATGTGGGGTTAAGCAACTACAGGGTCTGTGGAAATGCAGGAGGATCAATAACATACTAGGTTCGGCGGTCAGCTGGTCGACATTTAGCAACTCCAGCGGTCGGTCGAAAATTTGGGAGGGGTCTGCAACAGGGGAGCAGGGGTTCAGACAAGGGTCGGCACTCCCCCATTTAGCAACTCTAGGGTGGGTCGAACTTCGGGAGGGTAAACTAAATAAGAAGGTTCGGTCGAGGTTCGCGAAGGCCGCCAGGCTCTGTCTAATGCAATTTTAATTTTTCGGCGCTCATTCAAGAATATGACGCGATTGCAGGTAAAGATCCCTGCAAGCCCTGAACAATCAAAACCCATTAACAAGGCTCACATGGATCGTTAACGGACGCCGCCCCCTCTCCGCGTCGCTCCAACCCCTCCCCCCCTACCAAGCACACAAACACAACCCTTTGACCCCCCCCTCTTCACCCCCATGCAACTCCCCCCCCCCCCCCTCTTTCCCCTTCAGAACTGAAGAAACAGGACGAAAGGGGGAGCATGTTGTAGAGTGCAATACTACTCCCCTGAACCATCTTATCTCTTATGCTCTGCAAAAAGTGCCGGTCCTCTGTGTCCCTGCCGGACGTCTGAGAATTCTCTGGACCATCCGCATTGCTGGTATGGAGTCTAAACTGTCACCAATCTTCATTGTCCTTTTTTTTTTTTCCTCCTGTTTTTTAACCATATATACACAGCCAGATAATTGTCAGCATTTTCTATCCGTCGTAATCGGGACAAAGAACAAAAAAAAAAAGAAACAATACAGAGAAGATTAGCATGGCCCGTGCTCAAAAGGCAAATGTGGTCTTGAGATGCATGCAATCAGCAAAAAAAATTGCCCAGAAGAATCAGCAGAGACCGTTCAAGGGAAGCCAGAACTGAAGGGGCAGAGGGGGGAGGGGGGACGGGGCCCACTGGAACGTGAGCTCTGCGCTATCGCCGTGTTAGCATTAGCGGTGGTGTTAGCGGCTGGTACCCAAGGCCGCAGTCGAGCAGAGTGCGGCGACGTTTTTTCCGCTTTCCTTTTTGCTTTCCCCCCCCTTAAAACGGCCCTGCTCAATTGTGGCATTACCCTTGACTTCATTTCTCCAGGTTGAGTCAAGAAACCCCGCCTGGGTCGATTCCGATCCACCCAGAGCAACCTTTACAGAAGCAGGAAGGAGATGAAAATTGTCTGGAATGGTCGCAAGCAACTTTTTTAAACCACCAGTACTTTTGACCCTTCCCTTGCCGAGCCTACAAACGCTGTGTGCACCAAAAAAAAAAAAAAAAAAAAAAAAAAAAAAGGAGCGGGCCTTTATTTGGCTGGCGCCGCCAGCAATTTAGCCGAAGAACACAGTGCATGCACAGCCACATCTTCGAACAAAAGCTGGGAATCGTACTGCCGGTTTAAGGGTATGACCGTGGCCTGCGATTAAGGAGGGGTAATTTTGACATCCAGAACACCCGGGGCTGGAGGTGCTGCACTGGGCGCCAACCTTTTCCGACCCGCCAGCAGCACACTTCTTTTCCTTTTTGGCTGGCGCTGCCGGGCACTGTGGTCTGGTAGGCCTGAGCGGCGAATTTGTCGGAGTAAGCAATGGACGACGGACAAATTTCTACAAGGCTGGAGCCGTGTACTGGCAGTTCACAACACCAGTACACATCCCAGCTATTGTGCATGCACCGCCGGTCAGCAAGGGGCCACAAAAAGGCCCGTCCCACCAGGACCAATATTGCTGGCATCACCGAGCAGACCATGTCCCCGTGCGGTCCGGAATTTGAGAGGTAGGCAAACATCGGCACCAGGAAAAGGAAGCCGGGACGTGCCGCCAGTACCCACCGGTATCCGCGGCGGTGAAGTTCGCGTGAACGCCGAGGAAATTTGTGGATGAATGGGCCTGCTGCACGGGTCTGAATCCGTTTGAAACGGCAAAAGAAAAAAGCGCCGCGGATACCGGTAGGTACTGGTGATTTAAATGGCTAAGGGAGGATGGCCGATCTTGACAATAGGTACACCGTCCCAATAACTGAGCAGCTAGCAGCAAGGGCGAACTCTGTGGAGCGTATGTACTCCTTGCGTCTTCCCTGGTCTTCCTTTCGATTTAACTATCGGCCTTCTTCATAGTCTAGGGACGACCAATCCTGACATTAACTACACCATCCAATAGTCAAGCGAGGGAGAACTATGTGAGAGTATACTTGCAACGTAGCGTTGCCCCAATATAGCTTCGCACTGTCTATCTCTCAGCTTTCAAGTCCCATAACCATCGCAAAACGCAGAAGAAGGACGGCCTTCCTCATGCTAGCCAGGGATGCAAGTAAACCTGAATTGGAACTCCCTCCTATTGGCCTACAGTTCCCCCTAATAAAACATACGGTCATCATATCCGAATTTGGGCCAATTTTCAGTCCAGATGCAGCTTTCAAGTCCCAATACATTTGTTTGGGTGTGTGAAGAAGACGGTAGGGACATCAAGCACGAAATGGAAATTCTTCCTAGAAGCCAAGTTCCAAAAGGCAGATTTATTGTCTCTTGTGGGGCTCGGCGAACTGACAGATGCTTCTATCCACCGAGCCTACTTATGCTACAACAGGTTCCCTCGTGGCGTCAGGCCGATGTCGCTTGAAGACTCTGATTGAACAGCCTGCCTTCGTCGTGACCAGGTTCAGGCCTTGGCACACTGCCCTCATCTCCTTCTCCTTCCCAAAGCCCTTCTTCCTGCCAAAGTTCCTCAGTTACTCGACCACTGCTCGGCTATGGTGAGGGGCCAGCTTGGCCATGGCTGCCTCGCCCCCTCCTTCTTCGCTGCCACCACGCGGCTTCCTCCTCAGGCACAGCGTGGAGCTACTGCTCCAGCAGCACTGCCACATTGACGCACTGCCCAAATCTCCTGGAGGCTGCGCCCTCCATCCTTTTGTGCTGGCTGGAGAGTCCAAGAACCCTCTGCCCTGGCTGCACTCGGTCCCAGTTGCCTCTTCCCTGCGCCGCTTCTGGAAGCTGCACCCAGGCCCAGCGTGCGCAGCATCTTTCACCAACTGGGCCTAGCGGTTAGTGGAAGATGCTGCCAAGATGAGGCAAGCGCTGCAACTACCTGGCTCCGAATTCTGCTCACGTTGGGCCCTTCTGAGGCCCCACTGCATAATATTCGGGGCTCTGCCTTTCACTTAGGGCGGGGAGGGCCCCTTTTCGGCATTGCTGACGTCCTGAATCCTCACACAGTACTCAAACACTCAAAAATTAACGAGAAGAAAACATTTAAATTTTAAATTGATTCAATGGGAGTGGTAATGACTACAGCTCCAATCAAGGCCACTAATAAAATAAGACTTGAAACCAGAAACCAAAAAAAAAAAAAAAAAGGGCGGGGAGGGCCCCTTTTTGG